GTTCTTCCAGCAATGACCATCTTTTGAGAGCAGAAGTCAACTGCTACAATTTAACACGTTGCGTTGAGTTCATCAACACGTCAATTCCATGCAGAAAGTTATCAGATCAGGATATTCACGAGATTGCAACTCAGGAAGGTATATACCGTATTTCCTAGAATAAGCGCCTTTCCCGAATAAGAGTGTCCAACCGCGCCCCTTTCGAATAAGCGCTCCCGTTCCCTCCCCTCTTACTTTCCCAAATAGTATGGCTACAAGAAAACCTGTTTCTATCGCCACATTATTGATGTCATAATCGATATTTGATGATGATGATAATCATAATCGTAATCAGTTCTTGTTTTGCTAAAAAGATGCTTTCCAAAAAAAGGGATTTTTCTCGCTTAAAATGTCAGCTTAAGCGAAAAAAGTTGACAGAGCATTTTTGTAAAGATTTTACAAATTTCAGTGGAAAAGGGAATGGGCAATGAGTAAACTTGTCGAGTTTTCAACTAAAAAGCGTTTTCAAATTGGTACTTGCGTGGTTAGCGGGCAAAAAGTAATACACCTTGACGTCACAACCATGTTTACATACTCTCATGCAATTACGCCTCTCGGCCAATCAGAGCGCGCGTACTATCTTAGTTATTTTATAAAAAGGCTTATAAGTGTGTGGGTGTGTGGGTGTGTGTTTGTGGGTGGGGGATACTTATAAGCGGTAGTGTAAGGTCTACCGTTGGACGGAACATGCACATAAGCATGCAAGCAAACATTGGGACTATAAGCAAGTAAAAAGCTATGAATTTCATGCACAAGGTTAGGAAACAGGTCACCAATACCAAAAGGTGGTCCATAAAAATCCTTGCTAAGTGCATGTCTGCTTTAAATTTTTTTCAATGGCATATATTCTGACTACGGTCTTACTAACTAGGTACCTTCAGGGTTGATCAAGTCACAGATGGATACACTGCTTTTTATCAGGTAAAACCGTTGGTAATTAGCTTGCTGCTGTGTAAGTGGGAGGATTAAGGTTTCAACGATTCTTTATCTGGAAGGTTTTCTTCATTTAAAAGTTCTTTGAAACCTTGCCTTATTCAGAATCGTTGCAGGCAACAGTTTTGCGTTTTTAATCGATTCCTACTGCGCTCTTCTTTCTCTTTAATCTTTTGCTTCAAAACTCATAACCTTGTTGTTTTATAAAAACTTCAAAAACTCATTAATAATTCATAAATACAAAAACGAAAGAAATTAATGTTTAATTAGTGTCTTTACCTCTGATAAAGACATGGCTAAGCTTTATGGTCAATTTTTTAGACCAAAATAACTTCAAATCTTAATATTAGTGCAAGAATGAATTGATCTATATCAGCGACTTTGTAGTCGTTCATAAAACGAGCAGTCGTGTATTATCAGGTTTAAAAACTCTCAGCTTCGCTTCGAGGTTTTAAACCTGATAATAGACTCCTGCTCGTATTTAAACAGCACCTGCTATTCACCTTGTTTTCTTCCATGTAGTGGTTATTGAGACCTTTTAACAACACTTAGTTAACCATTTTTCCATTGTTCAGCTAATTTTTGCTATCTTTGATATTCCGTTGAAATTATCCCCATGTCCTAGCTTATCTAGTTTTGCCATGATCTACGATAGGTATCTAAAAGACGGCGTTTTGGAGTGATGAAGTCACGGGAAGATGACCCAACCATATAATAGACTTTCAAAAAAATTTACTTAAAGGGCTAAGTTCCTTCAAACAACTTAACCGTTTAAGCCCTAAGACTGATGAGCATCAAATTTCTCCTTGTAATATCAATGCTTTGTAAAAAAGAGTGGTCATGAGAATTACAGACAAGATCGCACACAAGGTGAATTTGCTTGATATTTTATCAACTTCTCCCCGCAACTTCTGTGGGAAATGAATAGGGGCAACAAATGAGAATTCTAATTTTGATCTTAGGGTTTAAAAGGTTAATAAGGACTCTGAGAGGACACTGAAAGTACTAATTGGGGTTTGACTGTACTGCCAGCTGTAATGCGCGCGCATAACGTTTTACTGTTTACTATTTTACAGATTCCAGGAGGAGTTAGACAGTTTAATTCTGAATGCTACACCTATAGGTAATAAAACTACAATACCAACGATGACTCCAATGTCCCCTCCAACCCAACCTTGCTTTGCCCGCCATTACTCATCATACACATTCATTTCCCTTTGATGTTTTGAGCCCCTATGGATCGATGAGTTCGAAATCGGTTCAAAACTGCTGTTGTGCGTTTAGCAGCGCTTAATTATAATCATCGAATTCCTTCACATTGACGCATCCAGGAATCGAGTGGCCCAAGTGGAGATGGGCGGGGGGAAGAAGGGGGCGGCCCCCATTTTATTTTTAGGCCAAAATGAGGCCGGCAGGGCTGAGAAAAATTAATTTTGAGGTCATCCCCTCTTACAAAGGTCCTCCGTCTCTCTTACCTGAAAACCCGAACCTGCTGTTGCTTTAGATAGTTCTCGCTTTAAGTAAAACCTTGTTGTATTTTTTCTCTTCCCAGCTGCCCTCGAATCATAGTGTCTCACGTGTACCCCTATCAGTGGGAATCAAATTGCAGAGGGGTACTCAACGGCTACCTTATATGGACGAGCGGCGAATGTCACAGAGGTAAATGAACTCAGGCACTCTTTTTTGAGCGCTGTCAATCACCTGACCAGCATCTACACGGATTTATTGAAAAAAAACAAAAAAACAAAAGTGTTAGACCGATTTTTGTGTGACCTTGAAAAATGGTTTCGGTGAGTGTTTGATTTGTTTAATCAGCCAATGGATGATAGGATAAGAACATGAACTCTTCGTTTTCCCGCCAAAGAAAATCCTAGTATTGAGAAAGCATTGATCGATTGGCCAAACGTATTGCAGTATGACGTCAAAGCGAAGTATCAGTTGATTTCTAGCAAGTTCTATAGGACATGAAGTTTTTTCACCCAAGCGTTCGCTTGACCAACTAAAAGCCACGCGCGTTTGTATCCGTTTGATAAACCAATCAAATCGCTCTATTTCCGTTCATTTTTTCTGTTTTGTTCGCGCGTTTTCATTTCAAGGATATACGAAAATCGCTCTATCATAAAAAAAATTCAATTCCCACAGGATTGGGTTGTTACACAAACGACTGCCGTTTAATGTTGTTTAGCAACACTTATATCTGGCAGTTGTGACGTCATACGCGAGAGTGCTTTACATTGTGTATCTGACCTGGGCAATAGACGAGCTGGCACGGTTTCTCCTTTTTTAACTTGTTTTCATTAGTATCAAACAACTAATATGAAATACTGTGATTTCCATGTGAATTTATGTTAACACGAAAATGGAGGTTTTCAAAAAAGCGCGAGGACTGCTCCGCCTAAGAAACACACCCTCCGTAGTAACTTAAGCTACGGTACAAGGGGCGGCAAAAACTTGCCACTTGTTTTGCAGCATTGCAGCAAAAAGAATGGGAAGGCTATGTTAAGCGTTTTACCACCCACGTTCAAACCTATCTTTCGACAAATTAGCTTGTTGCAAGTTGATCCAAATTGTGTGAATACTGACTTCTTATTGTATAAAATTACGCTTGGGTTACACCATACACGGGAGCTATGTAGCTTGCTGCAAATCAAGTTTGCCTTGCATTTGGGCCGGTAAAACCCGCAACACGATGCATGTACATATTTGTTGCAAATTGCAGGGCTACTGTCTACTTTCTGTAACTTTCTCGCAACCTGCATGAATCTGATTTGTTGCAAGACAGGCGTAATGATTTGTGGGTAGAAAAACGTGCAACATGAGATATGTCCAGTCTTGTACTCGCCAACAATCAGTGGAAGGATGTACAGTCGTTAAAGTATATTTTTTAAATCAATGACGAGTTTAAAAGAATAGCAATAACTGAATTAACCCTCGGACGTGCGAGGGGAAGGGGGGTTGTTAGCCACCCCTCTCTGAGGTTTTTTTTTTGTTTGTTTGTTTTTTTTCGGCGAAAAACATCAGCATCTGACGTTTTCAATAGCTGTTCGTTTATCCCTCACGCGCATGTTGAGACAAGTTCAGTGATGGTCAGTTACTACGGTTACGAGACATGACGTCATAAGTAGCAGGTGGTCAAGCCATTTTGAGAGAAAATACATGTTTTTTCATCTTCTTTCAACAATAAAAATAAAGGTTGTGGATTAAATGATGCAAAGTGCTTATTTATGTGTTATTTTACATTTCAAGCACAAAAAAATTACCATTTCTCGCGGTTTTAACCTGATTTCTAAATTCTTGGTAAAATCTAAAATGGCAAACAAGAAGGCGATCATTGTTGGTGACGTCACAGACCTCCAGTAGCGCCACCACCCTTTGGTGGAGTTGATATTCTCCATGTCTTTCTTTTCAACTTTATTCTTTCTTTTACAATTAGTTTTCGATATGCACGACAACGTCGAATGCGGCGGAGCAGCGTGGCTCTCTTCGAAGTATGGTACGTTTGTGTTTTATTTTTAATTTATTTTTGAATCTTACGTTAATAGAATCAACGTTATAGGTCGAATAAGCGTCCAGTAGTTGCGCCTTTTTCAGTTATTTTAGCGCCTTTAAACAACTCGAAAAACGTAAATAAGCAACGTCCCTTCAGATAGACTGCAAAACAGTCCGTATTTTTGCCTGTTCAAGTACGTACGAGCAGTCGAACAAAAGGTCTGGAACGAGGCTGAAACAGATAGAGAGACAGGGGAGAGACGCTTTCTAGGGCGTGTAAGACTTACGTCACGATTTACCGGTTTCTTTACTGATTTTGAGAAAAAACCGACCGTTTTGCCGTCTACTCCTCAAATAGGCGACTCGCCCCTCCCCTGTCATATTTACAAGGCTTTATTCTCTTGTGCCGGTAGCGCGGCGTGTGAGCACGAGCACGGTAGATCCGTGCTATCTATCCGTTATCACAACAATTAACCATAAACTAACCTAACTGGAGCCTATACCGTCAACAAAACTCATAATTCAAGTTCTACGATTTGTTTCCCTTTGTTTACAGGTACAGAGCGGGTACTTTACGGATTCCCCTTTGAAGGTTTAAGTGGAATGTATGCTAATAAGACAGGACTCCTGTTTGTCAAATGAATCAGAAGCTTGCATGTACAGTCGAACCTCCACAACGTTAATCCCTTCATGGCTTCAGCAATGCAACACGAAGGGCAACAATTGAGGCTGGGATGATGCTGGGACACCAAACACTACACCTACACTGTAGCTGGCATAAATTTTCACTTCAATAAGACTGAGAGGGAGCACTCTCGAAACGTCTGTTTTTCCTCCTTTTCAACACGTACTTTGAAAAACGTTGACATTCACTCGATTAATTGTGTCCCACTGTTGCTTCTTATTATTTGTAACACTTATCCCCCACTAACGGCCAGCTCTCTACAACGACCAACTTTATTTCGCGACAGACAGTCTATATACTTACACCAAATGTTTTAAGCCCTTGGCTACGGATCGGGTCCATTCTGGTTGATATGAAATAATACTTTTGAAATTAAATGAGCTAAACCATTACATCTTAGTAAAATAATTGAGATGACTTTATAAAATATTCACTAAATACATCTGGAGTATTGGTTAAACGTTTAATGGAAGCACATAAATACAAAAGTTAGAACGCCCCGTTTGCCTTCGAAACAATTCTAGCAGGCCTCGTTTGAAGTCGTACAAGAGAAATCAATTATTTTTCCTATCCTCAGCAGCTATGCTTTAGAACTGCAGGATCTCATTAAAATCCAAGAAGGGCTATTTTTAAATGGAATACTTTATGAGGGCTAAACTGATGTAGCTTCAGTGTACGAAAACATTAAAAGATTGGAGGTAAAAACAACTATGAACAAATAACGTGGCCCCCGAAAAGGGGTCGGGCGTAAAACGGTCCAGTGAAATTAGAGGTTTTAAAAAGCCGCGATACTACTGACCTTCATCTTCACGCATCTTCCGTTCTTATTGCCTCTTTTGCAACACTAGACATGACGGGGTTTCATTAAATATTCATAACATTTGGCGATGGTACAAAATCTCAGGACAAAACACTGTTAATAGAATATTTTATGAGGGTTTTGAGTAAGAGTAATGGATCTTAATTTGCAGATTGACACTCGTAAAAGCAAAGTAATTACTTAATTTGTGGGTTGGAAAACTGGCCACATTTAAGCTTCATCGGCAGTTCAGTAATGTTTGCGATTGCTGTATTAGTCCTTTTCATTCGCTCCGTTGTGAGCTGCGAGGAACCAAGATGCAATGGAACGTCCTCGTTACCAAACACCCGGTTACTGGGACATGTGTTTCTCGTAAAAGGGACCGACAACATGGTAGGCTGCATAAACATCTGCGACAAACAAACACAGTGCCGAAGTATATACTTTGACTGGGTTAACTTTCTCTGCGAGTTAAACAAAGCCGATGTCCATATTGCTCCCCAGAGTCTTATTCCAGCCAAAGGATATGTGTACTTGCATAATCCATGGCCAAAAATCCAATTGGTGAGTCACTGGAAAGTTGTATTTTGAAATATTCATAGAAATGACTATTTTTTGTTTTATTAAATAGACCATTGGGGCACTAACTTTTAAAAGCTAAACAGCCTTAGCGTGTTTTCGTAAGTTGTCATCGGGTTATTCTTATGGTCGATTTCTACGGACGACTCTCTAATGGAATTGGCATGTTCTACTTTTGCTGACTTACGTAACACGAGAACGTGATCGTTCCGATCATCCCCTCGTTCGGGCCTCTCACTGTTTTGTGATTTCCACTCACCCTCGCAGAGGCGCCCTAAATAAGCCTCTTCGTAGCTGATATATGCCCACTCTAAATAATATCCGAGAGAGAAATTTCGTTTCTTAAGTAACCATGTAACCGTTTACAAGAGAAATAATGGCACAACATCTGCGAAGCTCCATTATCAGTACGCTATTCGTTTTCGATGCTTTACTAGTTATGCTTCCTCTCTCACTCTCTTCAGCAGTTCTCCTTCACTACACCCCACTTTTAACTATAAAGCACCTACTGATCAAACATTCATGCGCTACTCCCACTGGCTTGAATCCGTGTGGCCCATTGTCCTGGTTTTGAATGTGTTTTAGGAGTAGCCTGGGGCAAGGGTCTATAGGGTTAGATAAATTATGCTGGCTTAATTTCGAGTATAATACTATGGTGCCAGCATCAAGCATAATGCCGTCATAATAGTGATGTTTAGGAACATAAATGTTGATAAAATTATCCTGCTTATAAAAACATCAAAGTAATGTGTTTACAAAATGTCCTGTCAATTGTGGCCTTTGTGGCTGCTTTATGCACTTACTTGGCTTTTCTGAAGGCTTGGTTTTCTGTTTGAAAGCCTGGCTACTTACTTTATGCCTGGCTCCCCAGGCTTGTAAGTTTGAGAGTGCAACATGGCTTCCAGGTCTTCCAGTTCGGAGTCACGTCTCTTGAACTCTGAGCCAAGCAGACTCAGAAACCGTGACAAAAATGCTTTCAGCCGATTACGAATTCGAAGTTCGCAGCTTTCCGACCTAGCGCGTAGCTGTGTGGTTACGACAAACAAAAGCAAAAGCAAAGAAATCTGAGGGCCAGGTAAAGCGACCCAAAAGCCATCAACAGTTGTGAAGAATGTGTCAATCGAGTCAAAGATAAGAGAATATAAAGATGTCGAGCCATTTTGCAAATCGAGTGGCAAAATGTTCTGCAGAGAAGAGCTGGCATTAAAAGCCAGCATTATCAATGGACACATTGATTCATCGAAGCATAAGGCAGGAAACGAGATGCTGGCCTAGGTAAAGAAGAGGGATATTTCAATAGTGGAGGCCATGAAGAAGAGTGTTGTTGTTATTTAAAAGAAGAAAATAATATGTTAGCCCCTATTTTGTCTTTTTTTTTTGGCGCAAAATTCACGTAGCATCTTTGAGCATAATGCTAGGGCCGAGCATAATTTCGAGCATATTTCTATGATTTTACGAGTGACGACGCTCAAAAGCATAATGCTCAAATTTTCGAGCATAATTTATTTAACCCTACCAGGGTCTGGAAGGGTATTTTCGGGAACCGGGATTTGACCAAAATACGGTGCGGGATTTGGGAAAACGCAAATTATATCTTGACGGGAAATGGGATTTGATTGCTCCTGTTAAGCGGGATTCATCAAAACTTGGGCACGGGATGCGGGATTTTTTGCCTATCTGTTGGGAATTCAGAAGTCGTACTAACGGCAAATGCGAATCAAGCAGGTGTGCGCTCAGTGGTGTCTCCTATCAGAGCAAACTGTATAGAGTTATCTTGGTAATGATTATCTCAATGAAACTGTCAAGTAATCAGCAGACGAGCGGACAGAAGACTTCCTCTTTCAACCTGATGTCAGAAAAGTACCAGGTATAAACGGTGCTATCTGACCAGTTTTAAATAACTTGGTGCATGCATGTCTTTAATAAATCCTCCTCTCTCCCTCTTCCTGTCTTCCTCCTTTTCCCCACTTTCATCGAAATTACTGGGAACAAAGGACAAAATTCGGCGAATCTCGGTTCCCTTCTTTTGCACCGTACTGTACCATGTTAGAAGTACTGGGAACTGTTTTTCTCTTTCTCTCAGACGTCATGTGCACAAATTCAGCAAATATTCCCGGATGCTAAATCTGGCTACTACTGGGTCTACATTAAGGGCAAGAAGGCAGAAGTATACTGCGACATGGACAATTATGGTATGAACGCGTTGTATTTATCATGTATCAGTCTTGTCTTTGTTGCTGGCTTTAGTTAATGATCTATCCAACTGTACCCCTTGAATTTATTAGCTACATGGTTCAGGTAACAGTGAATGATGAAAACGCTTAAATTTAATCTGTTTTGGGGGAGGGGAGATGAGTAAGCCCCTCTATTTATGCCGTGAAACGTGTTCGGTTTTCGATGGTCTCGTAGTTGAGCTGAAATCCCAAATGACTACTGACGAATCGCGGGCTTGGGTAGAAGAAATGATTTTAACATACTCACCGTTAAAAAGCATGTGTTAACGTTTGGAATACCAAGAATGACCAAGGATAGGACTATTATGAAGAGAAATAGTATAAAACGACACAGAAAGACGACAAAGAACGAAGTGACTTCCTTCCACTCCATTACAACTCATTGCGTCTATGAATGTTATGTGACATTTAAAAAGACAGGATGCAGCTGTAGGACTTTGCCCCTTCTGCCCTTCTTTGTCTCACGTGGAATGTTTCGTCATGTGTTGGCCTAAAAATACACTGTACCCTTTTCCTTTGATATAAAAACGTTTTTGCTCGATTCCATCGCCGCTAAGTTCTTTTTGCGAACACAAGTTGCGGGGTAACCTTTACGTTTGTTTTGAAATGCGACGAAGATACAGCAGACGTATTTCCGGTCATCGCTTCTCTCCCTCCGAGACCACCGGAAATACGTCTGCTGTTCGCAGGCCAGAAAGAAGGGGGGGGTAGATTTGGGGCATGTCGGCAATTCCGCCTAGGAGTGAGGGGAGGGCAGAGGAGCCTCGTACTTGAGCTGGTGGTTTTGTCTGATCCCATCAGAGTCAGGCATTTCTCATTTTTCCTTCGGAAAGGTCAAACAGTTGGGCAAGCCGATTCATTCAAAAACCCCGTCAGCATGGGGCTTAAATAATAGGACAATTTTAAAGGAGACCCCTATCCCCCAGATCCTCCCCTTGCGCCTTCAGCTTACTACAACGGCTTGGAAAAAATAGATGGAAAATTTGTTCTCCCCCCCCCCCCCCCTATGATGGGAAATTGGCGCTTTTTGGCTTTTGCGCGGTTTCATCCTTGAATTGGGGGATGGGGGTTGTTGTTCTATTTTATTCTGTCCAAGATTGCAACCTTGGACAAAATACAGACGACAAAATAGATGGAAAATTTGGACCCCCTTGACCCCCAAATCAAGGATCAATCTCGACCCAGAGCTCTTCTGCCAAACCCGTAAGCACTGTGGTCGAGAATGATCAAGGATGGGAAATCGGCGCGTTTTAGCTTTTGCGCGGTTTCATCCTTGCTTTTTTTTTGGGGGGGGGGGGGGATAATGGGTGTTAGCTATTCCATTTTATTCTGTCCAAAACCTGGTCACTAGCATTTATTTTTCGTGTCGGTGCTACATGTGGTTATAACTGCAACGCTGAAGTTCATTCTGAAGAGCTAACCAAGAAAGCATCAATGGAGGTAAGCGTGTGTTAGCTACCGTATGTTTTTAAACTAGGAATTATTTTGAATGAATAATAAAACAATTATTAAATTCGGCATTCATATCATATGAAGAATTATGGAGATCGAGGGTGTTATCCGCCTCGGCCTACGGCGTCAACGGATAACACCCTCCTCAGTCTCTATAATTCTTCATAAGATACTCAGCCTCATTTACTAATTGTTAATTAATACATTATGCTGGAAAATTTGAGCATTATGCTTTACAGCGTCACCCTCAAAACGACAAATGAAACAACAGCATTATGCCTAAAATTATGCTCGAAAAGTAGCATCATGCTCGACTGATCTTGGCTATATTTGATGCCCTTTTCCATGCCTGCAGACAGGCAATTCTCTCATAGCGACCACTTCTCGTAAGCGACCACCTACCGTAAGAGACCACTTTACAAATAAACGTTTTGTTTCTCAGGCAAACACTGTTTCAAAAACTCTCTCGTAAGCGACCACTGCGTAAATTTCTTAAACGACCGCGACCACTTTTTGGGCCAGAAATTTGACATATTCTTTTGTTTTCTGTTTCCGGTAAGCGACCACCGGGCATGATCACGTATAGCTAAATAAGTAAATAAATGAATAGACATTACAAGCAAAACGTGTTTTTGTTCCTGACCTTTATTTTATTTTTGATAATGAGTACAGTTCCTGTCTCACCACAGACTACTTTTTATTGCAACCTTCTTTTATGTGCATTTTTGCCTAGCTAAAAAGCCTTTTATATCCTTTTGAAAAGGGAACTTCTTAAAAGGTTCGGGAGATCAACAGCCTAAAAGACAGAATTTAGTATCATTATTATTTATTTCATTTTATTTTTGCCAAACAAAATAAATTACAACAATAAGAATAAAAAACACAATCACTAGATAAATAACATTAACTTAAAATTTGTATGCAGCTGGGAGGGAGTGACTGTCGCGGGGAAATCTCCGAGAAGCCAACGAACTTATGAGGAGTAGCGATTTTCCCCCACCGCCGATAGCCGATGTTCTATATATGAACTGAATTCTAACATGAATCCGAGGCTTTAGGGTTAAAATTTGCAAATTTTTCAAGACTCCATTGTCTCACAATTCCCAAAAGAGACTTGAGCACAAAGAAAACCAAACCAAAAATAGAAAAATGACCAGACAGCCTAGAGGTCATGTTGGAATTTTGATATATTGAACGTGGGCTATTTGAATACTAGGCGGCATTTAAAAAAAATAAAAGAAAAATAAGACGTGTATTTTAACGATATAAGAAACTTTATAGAAAAAATATAGATATGTAGTTAGGCATTTAGATATGTAGTTAGGTATCCTGTCTGATCGACTTAGAATCACGCGTTTAAGAAAATTAAACGTCAGTTTTTAGTTAACAATTTTTGATATTACGATGTTAAGTGACTAGAAGACAACAACTGTCCAAAATGATATGAAACTGACATGAAATTATTTAATTTTTTGTGCTGATATTACGAACAGTTTAAGGTCGTTGAAAACCTCGAAAACAGTCGAGTTGACTCTAATTTAACGACTACGACAAAGTATCAGTAGAAAATCAGAAGGAGTTGAGATCCTTACCTTTATTACTTGTTATTGAAATGCAAATGGCTTATCTTCCTGATGCTAGAAAAATAGAAAGAACGTTAATTCAAGTGTACTATTCATTTTAAGAAGGAGCCTTTTCATACTTAAAAACATTTTCGTATTCAGCTGTGTATTTTTAGGCGATTTGTACGAAAAGCAGATCTTATCATTTTGCTGGATTTCATACGAGGGAAACTGGGTACGAGTCCGTGTATTATGGGATAATTCAGTAAGACTCATCAGCATTAGATCCCTTCGGCCTAAACCCCTTGGACACCTTATGAAGTTTACACAACGTAGTGTTCTTTATTGCTCTACACTACACTTCGATGAAATTTCTAAGTTTCTTGGCATTTCTGCTCAGGAAATATTCATGAAAGTGCTAGTCTCTTCAATTTTAAAATCAGAAGAGCGAAAGTAAGCGTAGTGAGTGCAGTCCATCACCTATACCACTACGCCACTGAGGACTTGCTGGTGAGTATTGGTCTGATTTGAATTAAGCTATATAGCAACAACCCAAGAAGCTAACCGTTTGGAGTCAGTGCTTAACCCTAATCACTATTTTCAGGCTTAACCCCAATCACCATAATCAGTGCTTAACCCTAATCTCCATTTTCAGTGTTTAACCCTAATCAATATTGTTGCCTATCTCTAATCACTATATTCAGTGCGCAAAACCAATAGGGAATCCTACGTTGTGTAAACTTCGTAAGGTGTCCAAGGGGGTTTAGGCCCTAATGCTAACCGACTCAAATATTCACAAAGGAGCCTCCGAGCTTTACAAAATCGCTAAGTCTGTTGTTTATCGATATCAATGTTCAGTAGGAAGCTCAGTGGTATGTTAAGTACCTCAAACATGCGCACAACCATATGTAGCACCCAGGAAGTAGCAGACATGGACGGCTGTTTCGCTTAGATGCCCACGGTTGCCACTGCAGGGGTGATAGGGTTGCTTGCTTTCGTAAGAGACTGGCCATACCGTGGAGTTTCGAAGTCCCCATGCCTCCTACTGACTTTTGATGCTGCTCAAGTGCTAGCCACGCACAAGTATTTTTTAGAGGCTATGCGTTCGTCTCATCTCTAACACCACTTCGTGGCCATACCTAGCCTTCTTAGCAACGGGACTACTCCTGTTAGTGTACATATATGTTCTGCGTAACCCGGGATACCACAAGGAACTCCGAATAAATAAACATTGTCTGGCCAAGTTTCAACAATTAAGATGCATGCTCGTTGAGGAGCCGAAAAAAAGGGGGAATGCAGGGCGAGTGACCGGCGCATTTCAACGAGCTTGCTTTTGATAGTTGAGGCTCGTAGCCTTTCAAGGAAGCCTTTCAATGAGAAAAAAAACTTCAATTCTAAACGCGAGTAGATAAGCACTCGCTAGTACTGAAGACAAAAAAAAGCTACAAGCAAAAACGAAACCGATACTGGTCATACAGGTCTGGGAGTAAGTTGAAGGCTCATAACCCACCCACCTATTATAACGGAAACCGGATATGTATGTGCGTACAAACAAACAACCATGTTTGCAGCCATAACGATCGTGAAAGGTAATGTACAAGTGAAAGAATGTTAAATGGGGCATTACCAAGTTCACAGTTGGTCCCCTTGTATCCACATCTGCATTTGCAGATGTAGCCCACTCCAGTCGGGACAGCGGTACAAGTGCCACCGTTTTTGCAGGGGGTGGTGCGGCAAATATCTGTAGAGAATTATTAAAACAAAGTTGCTTTAAGCTAAAGATGAACTCGATCAGCTGCTACAGACTACTGTGATCACATCTGACGCATGAACTTGCACATAAAAATTAAACGACGCATTCGGGTGCATATTATTGTGATTATTATTATATAAGATATACTGGTGTAATTGCGATTGATTTTCTCTCTCAACATCCGAGTCCAAACCATGGACTTTGGGAGGCAAAGAGGGTCTCTACTTGATGGAAAGGACCCGCCTGAGAAGGTGAGCTGTAGAAAGGAGAGTTATTTTCTGGAGTTCATGTATGTTGATGTTGCCAGGGATTTTGTTGGAGTAGCTTTCCATGTCCTTCTTGATGGTGCCAAGAGCTCCCATAACAACTGGAACTGCTGTTGTTTTGAGCCCCCCACATTCGCTCAACCTCGATTTCCAAGTCTTTGTATTTGGTAAGCTTTTCCGTGGTTTTGAATAAGGTGTTGATGTCGAGGGGTGTAGTCATGGGCATGTCCCACAGAATAGTGACGCTGCCATTCTCGGTGACAGTCTTGGGTTCATGCTCATACCATCGTTTCTTCTCCTCAAAGCCAAACTCTTTGCAGATCGTCCAGTGCATGTGTGCAGCTGCCTTGTTGTTGGTGGATGTATTCAGTTTTAGCCAGTTCAGGGCAGCCAGAGACCAGGTGGCCAATGGTCTCGTCGAATCGGCCACACCGTCTGCATTTTGGGTTCACGTCAGGCTTCTTGAGGATGTTGCGTTGGTACCAGCGTGTTGGGAGGCTTTGATCTCGAGCCGTGATGACAAAGCCCTCGGTTTCTACCTTGAGGCCAGCTGATTTTAGCCATCTGTGGGCCTTGTCTTGGTCCACGTCAGCCTGTTTCACCCGTTGTGGGTATTTAGCTTGGAGCGCTTTTGATTCCCACTTGGACCTGAGCTGTTGGCGACCCTGGTGTTTGGCCTTGGCCTTTGTTCTGCGGGCATAGCTGCTGTTCGCCTCATCCCCAGTTCCCGAATGAACTTTATTGACCGTCTGATGATAGAGTACAAGGATTTCCTGTCGTCATGGTCTTTGATTATTATTATTATTATTATTATTATTATTATTATTAATCGAGAGACAAGGGTGCGAGCTCAGGGCTTACTGCAGTGCCTCTTGTCGATCAAGGCTTGGTGCTGAATAAACAAAAATTCAGAGACTCTCTGCGTTTAAGGTATAATTTGCCCCTGTCCGACTTACCAAAGAAGTGTGTTTGTGGTGAGAAGTATACCGTCTGCCATGCCCTGTTTTCGAAAAGGGAGGGTTTGTGGCGCAGAGACACGATGGTGTTCGCAACCTACTTGCCTCACTTATTAGTAAGGTTTGCACTGACGTTGAAGTCGAACCACAACTACAACCTCTCGATAATGCACGATTCAACCTCAGAAGCGCGGTAACAAGCCCGGAGGCAAGACTGGACTTCAAGGCAGAGGGCTTTTGGTCTCGTGGAGTTACAGCATTTTTTGATTTCAGGGTAACGCATGTTAACTCCAAGTGTAACAAGGGAAAAACAACATCCGCATCTTTAAGGAGCAGGAGGACTGGACGTTGAAATGAGATCTTTCATTCCCCTAGTTTTTGGAACCAGCGGTGGGATGGGAAACCGACTGCAAATGCTTTCTCAAACGCCTAGCCAAGAAGCCCTCAGAAAAGAATGAGGAACCTTATCACATTACCATCACTTGGATTAGAACATTGCTTTCTTTTGAGATTTTAAGGTCCGTACACACATGCGTAAGAGGTTCCAAACACCTTCCACAAAATTGCACAAGGGGATTTCATTGATGACTGCCGCTTAAACGCTAATAGTATTATAGGATCTTAATAATATTTTTATTTCATTTTTAATCGAAATGAAATGGTTTTAATTGAAATGAGCTGTTTTTAAAAATTGAATTGAATTTTTCTTTAATCGAAATGAACGGGAGCTTATGAAATGAAATGACTTGTAAGTAGTGCTTTGACTGAATACTTTTTTTTTCTTCAGCGAAACTAATTGTAAATAGGTTTTAATAGTTAGTTTTGATATCAATAAAGGGTTCGGATTATTATTATTATTGTTGTTGTTGTTATTATTATTATTATTATTATGATGATTATTATTATTATCATTAATTTTTTATCATTATTGCTGTATTTTTGTTGGTCACCGTGTGATTTGAGTGAATGTCAGCACATACCCTGGGTTCCAGAGACTTTTCTAGCGCGGTTTCCGGTTTCTGTCAAGTCTTCATAGTGACCCGCGCGAAAAGCTTTTTCTCGCGGCTTCGGCCTACGGCCGAAGACGTGTCGGCCTTCGGCCAACACCGAAAATTCCCGCCGCACGCGAGAAAAACCTCTGGTACCCAGGGTAGTCAGCACACTCAGTTTTAAAGTATGCCATCAGATTTAATCAATACTTCTGATAAAATGTTTTTCGGATTATCAGTATGACTCACCAACGACCATCCTGCAGCACTTGAGCTCCTCAATACAACCCAGTGTGTTGCCGTTTGACTTGTAAAATCCAGCCGCATAGTAGCCGATTTTCTTACACTCACTGAGTCCATAGTGATCAAATGACCCCCAGATATTCTCGTTGTAGCAGTGTTCATAGTGGTCAGGCAATATGTTCGGTTTACAGCACTTGGCCTCTTCAATTTGCCAAATCCAGCCAACCCCATCATTTCGCCAAAGACCTTGTAGAAAGTAACCATTTGGACAAACGGCCCAGACGTTAAACCTTAATTGCAAAGACAAAGGCAAAAGCAAGATTTTATGCGAAATCTTATGAACAGACCAAAGCGAGCCTCTGTAACAGAACAGATAGCATTTTGTTGGCTTCCCTTGACAATTTTGAAATGGAAGAGGAAGGAAGAGTCGGAAACGTTTATCTGCTTATTCTCTTGTCGAACTGGCGTTCTGTCTCCAAAACAAACACGAAAAACTAGAATTTCTATCTCAATGGTTGATGTTAAACTACAGGCAGTTTACTATGGTAAGCTCATGTTGAAACTAATAAAGATCAAAGACGACCCATCACCGATAACCATATGTGGATGTATCTCTAGTTTATCTAAACTTAATTTGTTTTGTTTACAGTTTATTTGTTGCGATTTTTGAGGAAAGCAGTATAAAATAGAGTCCCGTAACATAATAGCTTAAGCTCATCTAAAGTTTTCTTTATTCGTGGGCAGCGGAATATAGATCAAGTCCAGAACCTGGGAAGTGAAAGGAGGTAAATATACAAGGAACCTCAACAAGATTCAGGTCAGTGCAATTTTTCATCTGCCGAGACGGAGAAATGATTTACTCAAATTTACAGAGCTTTGTGTGGAGATGCCATGTTGGTGCTCATCCAATGCGCACCATCACGGCCGAAAACCACTAGAAACATCTGTCACTGATCTTGCTACGGAAGCATGAATTTATCTCTCGAGGAACTAATAATCAGTACAATAACTGTTCAGAAAGCAAAATTTCCCAAAATGAGTCACTCTTATAGCTTATTTAACGGCTGGCTCGGCCCCCGTGTAAATCAGTGTCGCCTTACGCAAAAGCTCAGAAACTCAATCGTACTCTATGACAGAACAAAGAACCCTTTCCAAGAGAAAATTTGTAGAAATATTAGTCCTTAGCTGCTCTAATGCTTCATGAAAGTAAAGCTCAGGAGTATCAACAATTCTTCAGTTTGAATTTTGATAACGTAATGTGAAACCAATATTTTCTCACCCATCCAGAACGCCCCGCCAGTTGGCAATTTTACAAGTTGACGGGACGTTCGCATATGGCGGGGGAGCTAAACAGCACTTTGCCTCTTCTAGCAACGAGATCTTTTCATTTAGGCCACCATTGTGGTTTCTCCACAGCCCTTTGATATACTGAGTTGAAGAGTCACAGGTAGCCCATCCTTTATGGTCAAACGCTCTCCACCAGTTGGCCATTGTACAGGCTGATTCAGATCTCCAGCACATATTCAGGACTAGCAGACTCAACAAAAAAGATTGAAGTGCCATACTAAAATAAAGAAAACAAAACAAACAAAATTTGTGGCTGTGTTCAGTTGCAGCGGTTGTTAAAAAATCGCGATATGAAAATGTCGTACAGCGGTGACAGCAATCAAGGCCCACTGACTGTTAAGATAAACGCTTTTTTCAGTATTCGTCTCTACGTCTGTTCAAAGATTAAATTTACCACGATTTCCTCTTGGGTGTGAATCATGTTAACACTGACATTGGTCAATATTAAACATTCAAAAACAATTAATAATCGTTATTTCCTAGCTTCATATTTAAACTTCATCATTCCTTGGTGAAACGTCTTGAGCTTTAAAGAAAAACGTAATTTCAGTTGCCAATGTTTTTGCTTTAATTTCTTTACATATACTTTGAGTTGTGTTATGCTTTTAAAGGTTTTTCAAACCAGCACATAACAATAAATTTTAGAGTACTTAAGTGCGAGCTTTGAGCGAATCAGTCGTAGTCAAACTTCCTAAGATTTCTGCCTTTTTTGCTAGACGTTTCAACGTTCTTACTGTGATTATAGTTGGTTCGTGATCATGTTTAGACACGCATAGCTGCTTACATACTCTTTTATGACTACAATTATAATACTAAATCCTGATGTATGCCGAGATGCTCAGTGTCTGCATTGCATTGTCACATAACCTTACAGACAAATCATTAGCTATCTATAAAAAATCACAAAATGAATCACCAAATGGTGAAAAGAAAATAACTTCCGAACAAGCTTCTAGACATGATATGAAATTCTAATAACAAGATATCTGATTAAAGTAATTGCAATGATTATTTTAAAACAATTGAAGTAAAAAAGAGTAGTAATCAATAATACAAAAAAAACCCCATCGAACTACCTTTATGAAAATTATAATAGTGCCCAGATGAAAAGAACTGTTTTGGGAGTTTACATTGCACTTTTGAAAGTCACATCACCAGCCACGCCCATAATTATGCAAAATTTAACATTCAGTTTTAAAATAAAACACTTAACGTTCTTCAAGTTCTCAGCTGTTCTTTCATTTATTTTAATGCTAAAGATCTAAAATCAATGGGGAGAATGTTAAAATATTTTATTCCTTTGTAATGATTTAACGTTTTTTCTCGCCCTACTTTCTCTCTAAGATGAAAACGTTACCGTTTGCAGGAAAAAAATATTTCCGATCAGCCTTGTACTTATAGTCGTAAACAGAAAATGAATCAAACTAAAAGAAATCTTTCTAAAGAGTTGTCGCATTGGATCAAAATATTAAAATAGCAAAAAACGGGTATGGCAAGTCAAGGGGCTAAGAAAGTATATCATTCTTAATGAAACTGATTTGCTTTTATGAAAGTTAAAAGCGAAAACTTAACCACATGAACCAGATCACCCTCCTATAAATTTCTAGTGACCCATTCCTTAATTCACCCGAGTGACACCTCTTGCATCTTTTTCGCATATGATGCTTAAGGGACTGTTATGTTAAGGATCATTTCGGGCCCATTCTGTTTACAGAACATTTGGAGTCAGTAGATAACTCATTTGATACAGTATGATTTTCGATAGGTTTACTCATAATGATTCTTAAATGTTGATCGACCGCTACAGTATCGTGTTCTAACTCCGCTGCCCGTGCAGCACACTTACAAACGTTAAGACAACTTCAAATTGAATGATTAGGAAAATTCTTTACCTTTGATTCGAGGTTAACAGCCACGTTACGTTCTGCACGCAGTCAGAAGATTTTAGTTACGATTGGTTTTGTTGGGGGACAAAAATCAAGTAACCTCAAATCGATCGTACCAATCATGGGAGGTACACGGTGTTTTCAGTCATTCAGTGCGCATGACTTCAAATGTGCGCATCTGATTGGCTAAGTCGCAATCCATTATTCTGCGCCGATTAAGACAATGATCGCTTACGCTATTTTCTAGAGAGCAAACCTTTCATCTAATGTATTCGTAGCATCATCCAAATAGTTGTTTTTGACTTCGCAGTCATCGACTTAACGATGATGCTCTTTTTTGCGCTATCTAATTGATGAGAAAGAAGAGTCGTAACATCCCATGATTACACATTTAAGACAGCTGGGTATATATCGCATAATTTGTGTTTGATATTTACCCGAACTGTGCGTTACCCAAATGCTTGCCATTACTTTAACCTGTTTGAACTGTAAATACCCTGTACAGGCGAAGCCTCTAGTCAAGAATTCTTTTTTTTTGATTCTATTAATAATAACTAAGTTACAACACAAAGAAAACAAACAAAAAAAGGTTTAAAAAAAGTACAGTTCGACTACCTACAAAAGCAGGAGCAGTAAACGAACGTTGATTGTGTTCTATCAGTCAGATATATCTAGTTGAATACAAGATTTACAATTCTTTCAAAATATCTTTTGCTATTTGACCGTCAGGGAAAGGAAGCAATCGATATCAAGGGCTATATTAAGAGCAATCTGTAAGAAAGTTCCATTTTTTATTGTCCCTTGCTTTTTTCTCTATAATATAGTTCTTGACTTAACTAGGCGTAGAAAATTTGCAAAATTAGGCGATGTTTCATCCATTTTGGCCTGCCAAATATGAAACCGCGCTAACAGGAAACAATAGTTTAATTGACACGAGTATATTCTGTAGAATGAGGCTCCGGCCTCAAGCCCGGTGCAGTAATGTTCAATAAGTTGTATTTTAGTTAAGTTAAGTTTAAATTGGAATTCTATCAGTTTGATGCTTTTTGTGCACCGTTGCGCCAAGTTCCCAATTAAATGTTCCTTCTTCGTCTGAGTAGTTGCAGTCTTGAAACCATTTTAGTTGGCTTTTACGTGGGGTTAAACTTTTGGCTCTGATCAGTTTTTGGTATAAATTTGTGGACCTGGCTTTTCTCTCTTAACAATTTTTTCACTTAACGTTTCAAAGGTATGGTCTCTTGTCTCAGCAGTATCGGTAATATTTTTGCGAATTTGTTTAACAGCTGCTAATGAACCAAAGAAACTGAGCGGGCGTACTCTTAAATCATGTTTGAAGGCAAAATCTTTGAGAGTCAGAAAATTATCGTTTCCTGATTGGAGGTGTTTAACTTTGGAGATACCTATTTCAAACCATTCTTTTAAAAAAATTGGTTTATTATCTATCCTTATTAAAGAGTTGAACCACAGAAACTGTTCTTGAAAAGCGATATCAGAACTTACTTGATCCACAAAGTTTATTTCTGCCCAATATTCCAATATTTCTTTAAGAAAGAGGTCTTTTGCTCTAACCTCTTTTTTTAAGTGTCAGACACATTGAGATTACCACGGAAAATGAGATCGCGGTCGTAGTTCTCCAGTTCTAGATCAAAGAGAAATTTCCATTTTCCGTGGTTAGTCGTGTCCAAGTACTTTTTAACCCATGTTGTTTTAAGAGATTTGTTGAAAGAGCAGAGGTCAATCATCTTCAGGCCTCCATACTCAGGCTCATTGATCATAACTTTTCTCTTGATTTTGTCACCTTTACCATTCCGTAGGAAATAGTAAAACATGTCATTTATTTCTTTTATAGCGTGATGATTTGAGCGTCAAGGGGAGAGCAGGTAAACCAGTTGTGAGGCGGCCAGTGGTTTGAGGACAGTGATTTTCCCTAACAACGTGAGCCTTCGGTATTTCCAGCAATTCAAAAGCTTCCCAATGTTTTCAGTTTTTTCGTTGTAATTCAACGTTAAAGCCGTGTCCGGATCAGTTAACAGCCACAGACCAGGTGTTTTGACTTTATATTTTGGCCACTTAAAGTTCTTTCCTGAAACAAGGATTTGTTCATACCCTATCTTAGAACCGATCCAAAGAGCTTCTGTTTTGCTATCGTTTAACTTAAGGCCGGAGATCTTACCAAAATCATCTAAAATTTGTATTGCTGATGTAAGGGATTTCTCTGAACCGTCTAAGATAATAGTGGTATCATCAGCGTAATGCTTATCTTAACGTCGTCATTACCTAGAGAAAAACCTCTTATGCTCTTATTGTTATGGACGGCCTTGGCCAAGAGCTCCGCCGCAAGAATAAACGAATATGGGGAAATTTAAAGGGGACAGCCTTGCCTAACTCCTCTTTGAGGCTGGATGAAGTTGCTTGACCAGCCATTGTTGAGTCCACAACTTCCGATGTTGCAATAAAAGGTCCTTACCCAATTGATAAGTGATGGTCCAAAGCCAGAAAAACGTAGTGTATCAAAAATAAAGGGCCATTCAAGGGAATCGGAAGCTTTTTCAAAAGGTATAAAGAGCAACAACCCGGGAACATTATGCTGTGTAGCATACTGGATGATGCCATCTATAAGTCTAATATTTTCCCCAATGAACCGCCCTTTCATAAAGCCTGTCTGATCATTATTTATCAGTTTTGGGAGAACGGTTTTTATACGGTTTGCTATAGCTTTTGCTGCAATTTTGTAATCTGTATTAAGGAGAGTTATGGGACGCCAATTTTTTTTTATGTAAAGTGGTTCTATGCTCTTTTTTGGAATACGTTTAATGATGCCCCTTCTTTGAGTAATAGACAAGCAGCCAGATTAGAAAGCAAAATTGAGGACGGAGAGTAAATGAGTAGAAATGTCATCCCAAAAGGCCTTGTAAAATTCGACTGGAAGGCCGTCTGTACCTTGCGTTTTATCCGCGTTCATACATTTTAAAGCTTCTTCACATTCTGTTTTAGTTAAGAGTCCATCGCAAACCTGTAGTTCATCAGGAGTCAAAACAGTCTCATTTGCTTGCTGAAAGAAATCAAAATTCATAAAGTTGTCTATTTTTGAGGCGTAGAGATCTTTATAGAAAGATTCGCATTCAGATAATACATCTTTGTCAGATATTACCAAAACTCCGTCGCTAAGTTTCAATTGGCTTATTGTACCTTGTTTAAAGTGACGTTTTTCAAGATTAAGAAAATATTTAGTTTTCTTTTCACCTTCATTGTACCACCTGGACTTTGATCGAAGAATGGCACCTTTGG